TCTCAACCATCTAATTCCAGCAACAGAAGATAGACAAACTATTTTACCCGCGGAATTTTTTCTCTGGTGCTGTTTTGCTGTGTTGGTAAATTCACCACTTAATTTTGAGTTAAAATATGTTGTTGTAACTTGCGTTACTGACATTGTAACGAGTAATAATATTATCCAAAAGCCACCGGGTGGCGGTGAGCCCGGGTGCGAGGAGCAAAAAGTAATATACTACTGTAATATTATTACTTTTGTAATGCGTTACTCCCAACACTGATTATTACTATACTTCTGTTTTACTATAAGACACAAACATACACTCCCCTATCCTCATCCAACAAGCAACAGATGTGCGAGCACATGTGCAAACTGCAGCTCAGGCAGTCAAAACATGACAATACTCTATACAAACACTCAAATCTCAGATTTCATTTAGGGGCTTTTGCCTGTAATTAGGGATAATCAGCAGCATGTGCATCTCTGTCTATGAACAGCTAGGTACGGTGGGGGGATTATAAATTAGACAAGGAAATTACTGCTAAGTGTGCGAATAAATTAAAGTGCGCTTGCTTCTGTAAACACTGTCTGACTACATAATTACTGAACACTCTCTGGAAGAGTGAAAGAGAGGGTGGGAGAATGATAGGCAAAAAGGTTTGTGTTGATGGTTTATTCATTTATTCATATGGCAGCGTGCAACGTGTACGCAACCGTTTGACATTTCACTGAGAGGTTGCACAACACCTGCTTACAATCGTAAGACGGGAAATGAAAAACCGTGCAAAAAATGTACTTTATGACATTTATCAAGTGTAATTTAGTTTCTACAGAAGTATGGTGCTGACTTTGAAGCGATCAAGCGTAAACACAGGCAAGGTTTGCTCTTCGCCTTATCCATCCAGCGTACTGGAAAAGATGCTCAGGTTTAATTCTACCAAATGATTCTGAATTCATCATCCAACATTAAAGAGTTTAAAACATTTCAGACTGATGTTTATATGCCATTTGTATGATGCTTGGTGTGTTTCATGAGCGACTCACATTTTGCAGGCAGACCGTAGGCTCCGGTGATCTTGGCCTCCCCCATTTCACAGCCGTTCAGAGTGGCACATTCCTTCCTCAACAGAGGACCAGCCCCACGATGAATGGCACCATCCACTGAAAATTGGAAAATATTTTATTATATGTAATATGTATATATGTGTGTACTTAACCATATCTTGGGGAGAAATTTGCACCCAGAAAACATGCATAAAAATGCAGTAAATATTTTTTAATAATATAAGGCAATAATAAGGCAATAATATGCCTATGTAAATTTCCTAATTACTATATATATATATATATATATATTTCCACTGCAATTTAACAACATGCATGCATATTTTTAAACCTGGATAAATATGATTTGCAGGCAGCTGTATATGATGAGCTCTTCCTAATAATAATCATCCTAATAATAATATTGCATGACAACAATTATGCAGTTCACTAGATTGGTTTACCCAGTGACACAACTTACCCCACTCTCCTCAAGAGAAACACTGTAATGCTGATGTTCTTTTACAAACCCAACTCCCATTTATCATTTGATGACACAAAAAAATCTGATTTCTCATAGCACTGAGGGCAGCAATTTGAGGGCCATAACAGTTTTACTCAAGGGTTTTTTAGCACCCTGGCACTTTTGCTGATATGTGCTCAGAATCTGCAGGAGCGAGAGATAGAGTGATAAAAAGATAGAAAGATAGGGAATATATACTGAGAAACACCATAGAGAGAGTGAAGTGGAGGAAAAAAACAGAGAGAGAGACAGAGGGACAGATGGAGGGAAGTTGTACTCAGGGCTTTGGAGTGGAGGAAAGGAGGATGAGAGGAAGGAATAAGGGAAAAGATGCGAATGTGGTGACGAGGTACGCCTGTTGGGAATAGTTTGCCTTCCTGTGTAATTGCAACATGCATGCACACACGCTTTTTATATTACACAGACATCTTGTTAGCAGGTGCTAATTGGCTTCTTGCTTACTTGACAAGGGGTTTGTGACATGGAAAAAACATATAATATTTTCCTATATTGCATGCACAGCTTTTTTTCAGTCCTCATTCACATGTGCTCCTTACATGCAACCCCACGCAACATCTAACCACATGCACACACACAAAATTTCTGCATACAAAACCATTCGTTAACAGTTGTTCTCAATTTCCCATCAAATCAGTTTGGCCTGGACTGAGCGGCACTAACAAGTGTTATTGAAAACACACCCTTTTATTGGCTGAGCTGGTCACCATGGCAGCCATTAGTAAGAGCATTTGATTGGATCTGGCACATCTGCTTGCCTGTGTCACAAATCCCTCGACACCAAAGCACTATCTCTCTCTAAACACTCGCTCGGCGCTCTGGGTTTTCAACCAGAATACCAACATTCCACTCAATGCCAAGTGGAGGACAGAACACACACATTCTCACTCAAAAAAATGAAACAATCAATCAATACTTATCCATGTGTGGCTTTCCAGGTTACTAAAAACAGGGCAAAGAAATCTCATAAACAGACTTAAAGAAGATTTAAAAAGGAGCAATATGCCAAAATACAGCATTACACCACAAACGCAACAAAACTCCCAAAGAGACTCTAATGTCACAGTGTTCTTTCATACAATCTGGAGCTCTCTCAGCTCTGAGCATCAGGACTGATGTCTCCCACTGTAATAAACTGAAAATTTTGATCGCCTGTGCCATTTCCAAGTATGATCCATTTGACCAGGAACGCAAAAAATCCAGCATCAATTATTTTTATCACTCACTCACTCACTCACAGCCTCTCTTTCTTCCTTCCTTATTCACTTTCATTTTCCATGTTTCTTCCTTTCATTTCCTGTCTCGTACATAGCAAAGTTGTATTATGCAGTATTTTTGTCTTGTTTTCCAGTAAAAATATCAGAACATCCTTTAAAGTTTATAGAAAGACTTACAACAAGGTAATAAGACAATCACACTTGTTTTTAGAGAATATTAAATTCAAATTTCAAACCCCATTGGCAAATTACAGTATAAACCCCACTAAACTGTGACATTTATGCTTAAAAATAGTAGACATTCTCCGAAACAACATTTACCATACACATTATCATATTATATTATATCAGATTATTGTATAATTGTTTTGCTTCTCAAGTGATTAAAGAATACATCTCGAATGAGGCTTAGTTTTCTAATGTCAATGGCACATAGTTTTGTTCTTCTTGTCTCAAGCATAAATCTAAAAAATGTATGTAGTGAGTGTAGCGCTTTGAACAATTTACCAGTGAGGTAATAAAAATAAAAGATAATTTAAGATCTTAGATTAGGTTTATTTAAAAAGTAAACCTAATTTAAGACATATTCTCTGAAAAGAATCTTGTTAAATTGTTCCAAGCAAATTTCGTTTTAAGGATGTTTAGATATCATTTTTTGAATAAGAAAAGACTAAAATACTTAATAAATTGATTTTTGCAGTGCATCAAAAATGCTGACTGAGAATAGATGGTGCTAGAGTTTGAAAAACAGTATCCAAAACAAACTATATATGACTGTACAGCACATCCTAACTCATCCATTCTTTATTTTTATTCTGTCCTCTGTTGTTTTAAACACATCCTCTTGTTTTTGCCCTCAGCTTTAGTGCTTTTCCTGCTTTAAACACCAACAGACAGAGGCTAACCCCTCATCTCTCTCTCTGCATGCAATGCTCTGAGGCTGTGTCCTCCCTGATGTATTGTTTGTCCCTGCCTAATTATCACCCAGGTTTGCCTTAACAAACCTCAGGAGCGGAGCCAACAAAAAGAGAGGGAGGGTGTACGAGTGCGAGGAACCCGATGTGTTTGTGTATTGGCGACAGAAATAGAGAGAAAAGAGGTGTTGGAGTGTTAGGGAGTGAGGAGAAGAGCTGATAGGGTAGGGCAGAGAGACAGAATGATGGGTGCGGAGTAAAACAGAGAGAGCGAAAGGGAGATGGAAGACATGCAGAGGCACAAACTGACAGTGAGGTTTAAAACGAGGGAGGTGAAGGTCAGGCCTAAATCAATCGCATTTGCCATTTGTGTTTGAGGAACTGCATAAAAAAAACCCAGGTCAATATACAGCAGTGCGCACTTCTGAATTTGTGTTTGTGTGTGAGGGACATGGTTCTGATGAGTAGGATTCTCAAGTGCAGATTTATCACTGGTATTGATTAGCTAACGGGCAGGCACTTAACACAGGCAGAGAGCAAGAGCGGCACACGCTTACAATCAACACACACATGCATTCGCAAATACTGAGTCAACAGTTGGACATTTCTGTTAATTTGCATAGCACTCTACTATAGTAAATTACATTTTGTTAGATTTTGCAATGCACTTTCAAAATACACACACACCTCTCACACAGACAGAGTATGTACACTGCCATTTCCATTCAAAAGTTTGGGGTGGGTAATTTTTTTTAAATGTTTTTAAAAGAAGTGCCTTATGCTCACAAAGGCTGCATTTATGTGATCAAAATACAATAAAAACAGTGTTATGAAATATATACAATATATTTTAAAATGTAATTTATTCCTGTGATGGCAAAGCTAAATTTTCAGCAGTCATTCCGTCTTCAGTGTCACATGATCCTTCAGAAATCAGTCTGATATGCCGATTTGTTTCTCAAGAAACATTTCTTATTATTAATGTTGAAAACAGTTGTGCTGCTTAATATTTTTTTGTGGAAATTGCGATACATTCTTTGATTAATAGGAAGTTCAAAATGAACAGCATTTATTTGAAATAAAAATCTTCTAATATGATAAATGTCTTTACTGTCACCCTGTGATCAAATTAATGCATCCTTTCTGAATGTAATGATTTCTTAAAAATATCTTACTGACCTCAAACTTTTGAACGGTAATGTATATTAGATTTAACATAACACATTTCAAGTTTGAAGTTAGTTAAAAAATTTGAAAGCACAAAATAAGACATGTACAATTATCACAGCTACTGACAGTGTTGGCATTTCTAAAGCAATGCTTATTTATAGTGTCACACATGACAGCTTATTGCAGTTTACTTTTAAATGGTTCATAATTTACATAATTTACTAGAATTTTTACTTTGTGATAATGACTACATTATCTCGCTACAAAATAAAATAAAAAATAAATAAATACAATAATTTAAACTCAAAGTAATAGCTTATGTTCATTTATTTATCACATATTACCATATTTTATTTATGTGAGAAGAAAGAGGTTGCACAGAATGCCATAATTTGCCAATTAGGAAGAAGCATTCAAAAGAAGGATGTTTTTTTTATTCTTGAATGCTGTCCTGAAGGGATAGTTCACCCAAATATGAAAATTCTGTCATCATTTACTTATCCTCATGTCTTTCCAACATGTATGACTTTCTCTCTTTTGTGGAACATATATATAATATACTACTGTATACATATATACATATATAATACTGTTGCTATTTCAGGTGAGAGGTGATTTCACACTGTGCACGATCTATTTGAAAAACAGTTGTTACATGTAACACACTCGTTATTCAGAATCTCTTGAGAGCAGGAACGTTACAAGCCTGTAACTAATGACTAAAAGTGCAATCTGAGATAATTGCAGACGTAGTTACGAATCCTCAGGAGAAAACGACTTATTTGATGGGCTGTAGTTTATATGTTGGATGTCTAACAATGTCAGTATTGCCCTGTTTGTTCTTACAAACAATACTATCATGAAACATGTTCAAAAATAGATAGAATTACCATGGTAGCATATCCAAAACACCATGGCAGCTTGATACTGATTTTGTCCTTTAAATATTAGTTAAGACTTAACTGTTCATGCAGCTGCAATGCCAAAGAAGCGCACTGTTTGATGAATATGTGTATGTACAGATAGATGGGTGAAATCTGAAGGCTTTACTGTATTTCTGAGAAGATCTACCGTCTTGTCAGATCAAAGTACTGTTTAATATATCACAGCGAGCAAACGGTTTCGAAAAAGCACAGTCTCTCTTTAATTCTGCCGTTTTATTCAGAATCTGCTGATGAATTGTTTTTCTCTGGTCAGTGTTTGTGGGCATGTGTGTGTGTGTGTGTGTGTGTGTTGGGAGGGAAGGGCCGCTCTATCAGAGATGGTTTAAGAGTTTAGCGCTCATTTCATCTCACTGGGTCTCTAATCGCTCTTTTGCTCCTCAAATAGCGCCTCTGTTCTCACTCACGGGGCTATCAGAGATCGTCTGTTCAAATTCAGAAAAGTGCAAAGCCTCAGGCTGACAACAGCTCCCATCACACACATACGTTCTCGCTCTCTCACCTTTGTTTCCACCTGCTGATTCTCACGTGCTCTCTTTCACCTTCTAATTCCTCTCACCTCTCCGATGCTTCTCTCCTCTAATGTCTTTTCCCTCTTGAGCTGTGTCTAGATTTGTCTCATTCAGCCTCTGAAAAAGAGGGGGGAAAAAGAATTGACTCACCTCCTCCTCCACCCAGAAGTGTCTTGTTAGCTGAAACGACAAAAGAAAACAGAGGACTCTTCAGGGAAGATGTCAGAGACTTTACAGCAAGAAAAACAGTGACTTAAAACCAAATTAATGCCTTACTGGTGACTGAAAATACAAATTCAATCCGAGGGGAGAAGGTCAAGGATGAGAATTAGTTAAAGGACTTAAACTCAATATTAATACACCACTGTTCAAAAAAGTTTGGAGTCAGTAAGATTTTTTAAAATGTTTTTGAAAGACGTTTCTTATGCTCAACATCTTCATTTAATAAAAAAAATTGCTTAAAAACTATTGAATTACTGTGGTGGCAAAGCTAATTTGGTGCTCAAGTAATATTTCTTACTATCATCAATATTTAAAACAGTTGTGCTGGCTAATAATTAAACATTTACTGTGACTTCTGACAAATGTGTCCTTGCTAACAAAAAATATGAATTAGTTAAAAAAAATCTTCCTGACCCCAAACAGAAAGGTGGTGTATATACACTTTTCATATAATATAATATAAAATAATAATATAATATAATATAATATAATATAAATATATTATATTATATTATATTAAATACATACATACATAAATATTTCTCATTATATGACCCCTTTAAATGTTAAGCTCCTTTGTCAGACTGTATAGATGCCTTAGTTTTCTGCTTGCTTAGTAAACTAAGCAAAACGCAGCCGTAAACCTGGTTATCCAAAGTGCTAATTGACATTTCCATCAATTCAGTAAAAAGCAGGGTCTTGAACCTGTGTCATGGGTGAAATGAAAGCCTTTATCCAATTTTACAAATTAAACTTGTAGATACAGAGCTGTTTTTTCATTACAAGACCTAAATGATAGACAATATATACATATAGTTTTTGTCAGTATTAATTTCAATAAAAAGGAAAAATTGCATCTGTTCACAACAGGGCTGAGCATTTCAGTTCAAGTACGAGGCTGGTTGCACAACAAAGCAGCACTGAAACAACATTGTTTCATGATCAGACAGTGAAGTTAAAACACAAATGAGCAATAAGATTGCTGATTTTTTTTTCCCATTTAAAATTCATTACACCTCTGCACACGGACATTAAACCGCATGATAAGTGACGAGCTTATGAGCCAACAAATAATTTACCAGATGGAGTTAATGTAAGCCCAGACAAACACAACCGAATAGACACACAGCCACTGAAAAAAAGGACACAAACACACGCGCACAATTTAGCAACAGAGATAGACTGACAAACAGAAAACAGTATGGAGAGAGAGGTAACCATAGCAACCCCAAAGCCCAAAGGTTTGTTACTGAAACCTAGTTAATTACAGGGAGGGCAAAGGAGGATAGATGGAGACAGACGAGAAGAGAGAGACAGGAGAGACGGAGCAGGAAAGATGTCATATGCAAGTGGATGTCCCTTTCTCTCCTGTCTGTCAGAGAAAAAAAACCTACTAGTGAGAAGAAAAAGGGATCAGATATGCACGAGGAAGGACAGAGAGCAAAACAGTGGGAGAGAGAATGAGCGAAGGCTGTAAGTTGATGATACCCCAGGGAGAGAGATTTGCCATCTGCTTAAACCCTGTGTGCAGTGTCTTACCCAGGGGAAGGGTGACAGTAGTATCATAGAGATGATGATGTTCACACACACACACACACACACACACACACACACAACTCTGTGAGGCATATTGACATGATGAGATTGTATGCGGGAATGTGTTCACAAAATGCAATCTTCTTATTCAGAACTGTAACAACTCCTTTCAGGCAGGATGAAATGGATCTGCGATGAAAACAATGTCCATGAACATCAATACCGAGGTTGGGATTGTAAACAAAAATACGGTGCTGATTCTTAGTGTCAATTCGACTTCACACAGCAAGAGGCAATGTTATACGCCAATGATGAGAGTTTACGGGCGGATTAGGATCACAGAGAGGGATTAAAAAAAAAGAAAAACATAAGGACGAATAGCTAAGAATCAAAAAAAAGTTCAACAGAAGGTTGGGGGTGAGAGGAGGGACGGACGTGGAGGAGAGGCAGACAGAGAAAGCGAGAGATAAAAGCTGGGAGGTACAGAGGGATCAAGAATGTGCAACAACACAAGTACGGAAACACTAAATGAAAAGATGAAAAGAACAAAAGAGAAAAAAAAGTTTTTTTCTTCAACAAAACAGCACAGCATGAGTTTGCATCATAATACACAAGACAGAGAACAATTGAGAGTGGGTTTTTTGCTTTTTATAATAAATGCATTAATTAGAGGAGCTGACAGAAAAGTTCTAGCTCTCATTTTTCTTTTTTTCCTGAAAAAAGGGTTTATACACGACTAAACATTTGTTTGGGTTTTTTTATTTAATTTTTTTTATTAATGGCTTAAAATAAGTAAAAAGAATAAAAAGTATAAGTACTTATAAAAGCTAATACGGCTGTCAAGTGATTATAATTTTTTTTCATCTAATTAATGACATGACATCACATCAATTTTTGGCTGATAAATTACCCCCTAAAAGATCATTTAAAGTCATTATTGTGTTAGTTAAGAAAAGTAGTGAACAAACAAGGTTTAACTTGATTCAACATTTCATATATAATAAACATGGGTTTTCATTGGTGAAAATGAGCAAAACAGACAATATTCAAGTTTATTTATTTATTAATATTGACAATACTGTGCCTAAAATTAAACACAAGATTAACTTCTTGTTTGTTGAACTATTGTATAATATCACTTTTGCAATATACATTTGAGAAAGAAAAAAAAACAGCACACTTGCTCGTGTGATATTGCTAAACTATATCATATGATATAAATATAAGTTAAAAAAACCCATACAGGTGCATTTTTTGCCCTCACATCTTGAATTTTATGGGCATATAACTGCATTCTAATATACCTCATGTAGTCAGTCTCTTGTCCTGCATCATGTTCTTTAAAAACTGTCTGCAATGTACAAGAATGACAAACCGGTCTGGGCCGGGGTGGGCTGTCTTCAATGCGTTAAATAATTTTAATGCATTATTTTTTCCATAATTAATCTCACCAAATTAACATGTCAAATCAACAGCCCTAAAAACTAAGTATTTACAAGGAATAAGTATTTACTGTTCCCATTTATTAGTCACATAAATACAACAAGCATGGGTATACAGAAAAGGTGATGGTCAAGTGTGTGGAACGGAAGTCTGTGTTTCTGAAATAGCCTGCCACCAGGGAGAGGGGGTGAAACCAGTGAGAGAGAGACGTCGTGTGTATGTCTGAACAGATGTCCTTAATGTCTGACACTCCAGAACCCTGCAGACACCTTGGCTTGTGCGAACCATTGCATTCATAAACATACAAACACACATGTAGCCTACTGTACATTACACAAACCTCCTCTCAGGAGGACAGCTTCATAAACATTTTATTTACTCTATGCAGGGCTACAATTACATGCAAGTCAAAGTCAATCCTACTCACAGTTCAGTGCACTGATAGCTCAGGACATGCACACTGCCTCACAGTCACATGCAGTAGAGGGAAGCCCTAACAGCAAACTGCATGCCATGCATTAAAATGTAATATGACAAAACCACAAAAAACAACACTGATGATGCTGCACAGAATCACATTATTCAAAAGGTGAATCAAAGTCTCAATGAAAAAGTAAACATTCCATAAATTATACATTGTCAATACTCTGCAAGCGGCAAATGGGAGTAAAAACTGGCTAGTAGTGAGTGAATAAAATTATTTGAGAAACCAGGCTGGTAATTTTATTTAGAAATGCAAGGTTACATAGTTTATGTATGTGAGTGATCAAACACCAAGACGCCCGCTAAAGAAAATGCTTGGAGTGTAATACCTGGTGAAAATGTATTAAGTGTATAGGCCTATGCCAGATGTGGTGAAGGTGCACATTAAAGTTTAAACTTCGCTGGTAGGGTTTTTATTATAATTATTTATTTAATAAAAATGAATGTTCATAGAATATAGTTATATTTTAATTTACATATAGGCCTACATAACACACACACACACACACACACACATATCGGCCTAAATATATATAAATAACACAAACACACGCACTGTTAGGTTTACAAACGCATACGCATAATATAGGCTATATATATTTCGACATTTTAAATAATTTAATATATGGCTTAACGTAATATACATGACTATATCCTATTGAAAAATGGATGTTGTTTTGTTCGTAAGTGATCTATGTTAAAATCCGTTACTCCGCTGTGGAGATGAAGGGGTGGAGTGGCGCGAAAGAGAGAGAGAGCGAGGCGCAACGCTCTGAGTGACAGGAGAGAGAGAAAGAGAGTCTGAGCGCGCGCGACGGTCACAGCGAGCCTGCCTGACTGAAGACTGAGACAGTTAAAAACACAGAGAACGGGACAAGTCAAAACCATTGAAAAAACACGATCTAGACAAGAAGAAAATCAACATTTCTCAGAATATAAACGAAGAAAAGATGCCGTTTACCCAGACTGAGGTATGTTGCTCTAAACACTTCTTCGTATAAGCTGCTTGTTACCAACGGTCAGACTGAGACCGCTGAGGTACATTTATTTTCTGTTCTGCTCAACTCTGACTTCAACTGAAATGAGGAATAAATATGTTTTTTATACACATTATAAGCGCTGTTTAGATAATACTGATATATTCTGACTGAATGCGTAGCCTGTAATTTGTCTTTCATTTGTTTGCTCTTAAGCGCCTATTTAATCAGTCTGAGGCGGCAGTCACACAGGATTTAAATGCAGGCGCTTTGAATTAAGATCCTGGATTGGGACTCTCACTCATTTATTTTAATGACCTGTTATTAAACGTGTGCGACTGTGTATAGTGCCTAAATGCGCTTGTTTGCTCTTGATGGCCATTTAAATGCTGGTAGCTATACAATCTGGTGATTTGCATTTGTTTTTGTACTTTCAAACCTGGTGCAGGGTTTGCACAGGAGTTAGTGCATCCGTCTTTGCGCGTGTATTTGCACATATGGCACTTACTGTACTTTCTC